ATAGTTATAACGTTAAAGTTATTTTTCTCTCTCTCTCCACGTCAGCAGACAGGTTCTGAAAAGTAAATGAGGAGAGAGAAAAAAAATAACTTTTAATGTTATAACTATGTTCTCACGGGAGAACATAGTTATAAAGAGTAGTTGTAGATAAACTTATCTAAAGTGGCTGCTAGGGGTGATTATAATAGTCATAACCCAATTAATTAGCAAATTACATGTAATTAAATAATTAAGCATGTTTTTGTGAGTAAAATTAAGTATTAGGTTTAATTAAATGAATTTGAGTCACTTTAGAGTTAAAAAGTGTACTCAGTGAAAATTAAGGGGTATAAATGGGTGTCAGCAAAAGTACCCAAAATATAAAATAAAAGCGAAAATATTTCTAGAATAATAATCCCGACTTTTGGGTAAAGTTTGGTAATTACTGGAGTTGAGTAGATAGACGAACCAATACCCGCTTAAAGTCACTTAACATAAGTTAAGTGACCAAAGCTGCTAAAAGAGCCCCATTTCCCACCCAAACCGTCGAGCACCAGAAAGAAGAAGAAGGAGACGAAAAGAGAGAGAGAAAACCATAGAGTGAGCAAACCTTGGCCAAATCAACTCATTCCAAAGCCTAAACCACTCCAAATTTTCTCCTCTTTCATAATCCTAGCTTAGTTTTTAGTGGGGAGCATTGTGGAGTGGGATATCCTCCTCCAAAAATTCGTCCCATTGGAGAAATTGAGGTGTTTGAGAGCTTCAACCTCCATTGAAGCTTGAGGAGCCATCAATCCTTGGTTGTGTGACCATTGGTGGTAAGATTCTAACCCTTGAACCTTGCTCTCTTGGAAATTCCATGATTTAGGGTTTTGAATGAATAGTGTTACGGGTTTTATGATAATGTTAGTAGTATTGGAGCTTAGCGTATGTTATGAGAAATGCTAGGAATGATGATTAATCGGTGAAAATGAGCTTAGATAGTTATATGACTATACTTTGGATATTGCAAGAATATGATACTTGGTTGTGAGTTTTCTTGCAATTATGATCAATGGTTTGGCTTGGTTGATTGATGATTGTGTCCTTGTGATGTCTAGGATTGAGACATTTGGACCAACCGTGAGTGATCAACCATTGGAGCAAGCTATGGAGCTTGAGTAGCTCTTTGGAATAGGTAAGCTCATGCTAAGTTAATATGTAGAGTTGATATGGTAGTAATGGATATAAGTAAATATTCATTGGATAGTATGATTGATGCTATGGCACCTTGGTGTAGGTGTGTTACTTGTAAGTCATTGTCGAAACCAAAGTTGATTGGTTGCTGAACCTGTTGGTGGTGAACAAAGGTTGAACTGAAGCTTTGAGGTAAGCCTTCGGACCTTGGGTGTAATTCCCTTGATTGTTCCACCAAGCCCTGAAAGGGTAGTGGTAATTATAGTGTATATAAATGCAATGAAATATTGTAATGCTTTGTTATACGTATGTGTATGCATTTGGCGTGGCATAGGATGGTGTTTCCCTATGTGGTATGTTGCATGACGATGCGTAAATCATACTTGGTAGTTTAGCTGGCCAGTAGGACTATTTGCATCTGAGTTTCCTTAGGACAGCTTGAGAGCTCGAGGGATTTCTCCTGGAGATGTTATTGCACTTTGCATAGATATGTATTTACTGCATTATTATTGTTATTGCTATTACACTGATATGGAACTGTGGGGTGAAGAGATGCTCCAAGGACCCCTGGTTTACTGGATATATTCGTATATCTCACCCCGTGTTATGGGGACCCCCTTTCAGGTAAGGAAGCTGCATGAGCCTCTGATGGCAAGTGGCCTTATTTGCAGTAGATCATGCACGAAGAAAATGATGTTTTGAGATCATACATGTTATTTTGTAGATTTACATGCACAAGATTGATCATTGATAGCATTGACGTATGTATATCTCATTATATTTGATGGACTTAGCCTATGATCATGCCATTGGATATCTCTTTTGTTGATGAGAGCCAAGGGATGATCATAGCCTTTTGTAGCTAAGTTTCCCGTTATGTAATTAAACTTGTATTAAGGTTATGAGTGCATGATGAATATTGGAAATGTTGAGCTGAATTGTCTATTAGGAGCTAAGCTGTTAGATTGGGAAACGTTGAGAAAACAAAGGTTATGCTGCCCAATTTCCGTTAAATCAATGATGCGAGGATGAGAGTTAAGCAATGATATATGGATATCGCAAGCTTGTTAAATAGGTTGTAAAATGTGTAGGATTGATTCCCCAAGAAAGATACATGAAAAATATGAGTATAGGAAATTGCCCAGAAGAGGGGGCTTAAGCCTGCAAATGGAGGCTTAAGCCTGCTCAGGGGGCTTAAGCGCCCTGATGCACCTGTGAAGACCAAAAGCTCTCTGCCGCCTGGGGCTTTAGCGCCCTTGGTGGATAAAAAATGTAAATTCCCTCTGTATGTGGGCGCTTAAGCGCCCTGCACACGTAGTTTTTCAACATACACCTAAGTTAGTAAAATTGTCATAACTTGAGCTACAGGTCTCCAAATGAGGCGCGGTTCGAAGCCACGCACAACTAATGATTAGGAGAAGACATTTAATAACATTTGGTCTAAGGATATAAGAGTATGATGTTAAGCTTAATTTATTTTATTCCGCAATGTAATATGGTTATGATCACGCAATTGGGCATTATAAATTCGGCATGTTTTAAAATGAAAAATTTAACCGGATTTTAATTGAACCCATGTGATTATAACTGCGCTTAATATCATAATGCGATGTCAACAAACCGGTTCTAGAACGGGGTGTTACAGTGATAAACGAGTCAGGGGCCTTTCAGGGCCCTTTGGCTCGGCTCGTGAAGGCCTGAGCTTACCTGCCTAATATTGGTTGTTGGAACCAGGCTTGGACTTTTATAAAAGCTCGTTTAGTAAAAATGTCTCAGGCTCCAATTCAAAAGCTCGGCCTTGGAGCCTCTCAGTCTCAGGCTTACCTAGTATATTAATTTTTATTTATATTTTTTATGCTATTTGTAGACAGACTTTTTGAATGATTTTGTTCTATATTATACTGTTTGGATATACATTGAATTTATGAATATTTATGGAATTACTAGTGTTGTTGATTGTATATTCTGTTTGGATAAATTTTTGTTGGCTTATTTTTTTTAACAAGCTAAATCAGGTTTTTTTTTTTTTTTTTTTTTTGTAAATAAGGCAGGCCACAGGCCGATAATTATATTCATAACAGGTAACAGACTTGGTAAGGCCGAAACATTTAAACACAGGCTTAGCCTTTTAAGACCAAAACTCGATTCGGTTCGGCCCGTTAACACGCCTAGTGGCTGCAGAAATGTTTACCCATATATATATATATATATATATATATATATATATATATATATAATATCACATAAGTCATTACTCAAAATTCAATAAATAACTTCATACTTAAAAGATATAAATCACATAACTATATAAGGTATATGTCAAAAAATATAAAAAAAAAAGTTCAACAACTCCTATAAGGCTATAACGTGGAAAGCACGGACTGGGTTCAATTTTTTTTGCGTGTCAGACACGTGTCCCACACGGACACGGTCGGACACGCGTCCGACACGCGGTCAACATTTGGGGACACGCGGTTAACTCTGCGACACGTTTTTCCGACACGTAGTCAACTTTTTTCGACACACGATCAACGCTCGGACACGTTTTCGCACACTCTCGAACACGTTTTTTTTTTTAAATCTTAATTTTATTTTGTTAACTAAATATAAAAGAAAATTTTTATAAATTAATTTTTTTCTATTATAAAATTTGACATGAAAAATTAACAACGTACAAAAAATTATTTATATTTATATTTATGTTATGAAATTTAAATATTTGATTGGTTATATGACTTATTATGGATTCTTATATGTATTAAATATAAATTATATTATATATATTAAAAATTTTATTTAATATATAGACATGTCCCAACGTGTTGAAATATGACATTTTTTAGAATTAACGTGTCTGCGTGTTATGTCGTGTCCCGTGTCCGTGCATCATAGACTATATCCAAGTTCCAAAACATCAAAAAAATAAATTTTAACAACTCCTAAATGGTAAATTTAGCGGCCTCGGCGAGGTTTTTTTTCTTCAAGTAAATAAAAGAAATTATTGTGCATTTGATTAGGAGAAAATAAATTTTTTTTTTTTTAAAAAAAAAGGACTGAGTCATGAGTTAAAAGTTAAGCATGTGTTCGAAATTCCCTAGTACCACCTTTGGAAAGGATTTAAAGCCTTAATCTTGAACCCACCCCGAATCGGATTAGTTGCGAAGCAATGAACCGATTGGAATATTTAAAAAATAAAAAAGTTAAGCCGATTCGATTTTTTAATTTAAATAAAAACATAAAAAGTTATATTTTTATCATTATTATACGGAATTTTTACCATTTTTTATGGAGGAAGGTTATTCTTACAACTTTTTTTTTACAACCATATATCATAAATGTTGATTTCCGCCAATCAACGGTTGTCATTTATTATGAATTAATAATTAATTAATGAGTTTAATTTGCGAAAATCGTAACCGTTAATTGGCAGAAATCAACGGTTATGATATATGGTTGTAAGAGGTTGTAAAAAAAAAAAATTGTAACTATAACCTCTCCCTTTTTTATGAATGAAATTTTCAGCGTATTCCTTAATGAGAAAGGTTATACTTACAATTTTTTTTTTACAACCTCTTACAATCATATCTTAACACCGTTAATTTCCGCCAATCAACGGTTATAATTTTCTCAAATTAAACTCATTAACTAATTATTAATTCACAAGAAATTATAATCATTGATTGACGGAAATCAACGGTGTTAAGATATAGTTGTAAGAGATTGTAAAAAAAAAGTTGTAAGTATAACCTTCCTCTTCTTTAAAAACTAAACAATGTGAGTATTTACGTTTTTACAAACATTGCATCAAACGACAAGTCGTCAAGGTGAAATACACAAAAACCAATCCACAAGTCATTACAGGACGCTCTTTCTCACTCACCAGCCTCAGTCTCAGCGTCACCGATCAAATGGCCACCGTAATCGACGGCAAAGCCGTCGCACAAACCATCCGATCTGAAATCGCCGACGAGGTGCGTCGCCTCTCTCAGAAATACGGCAAGGTAAGCCCTTTTTTTTTCTTTTCTCAAAAACGGAATGTTAAACAAATCGTGATTTTCCAAATATATAAATTTTGTGAGATTCAGATGTGTGTAACTTTAGCTTAGGTTTGCAGGTTCCGGGGCTGGCAGTGGTGATAGTAGGGAACAGAAAGGACTCGCAAAGCTACGTCGGAATGAAGAGAAAGGCGTGTGCTGAATTGGGAATCAAATCCTTCGATATAGATCTTCCGGAGCAAGTATCCCAAGCTGATTTAATAAAGCAGGTCCACCAATTGAATGTTAACCCTGATGTACATGGTTGGTCAGTTATCATTGCTTTCTTTCCATATTTTATTGTATCTTTCGAATTGGATCGTAGTGATGCGAGGTTGACCTTTAGATTTATATCTGAAGAGCATTTAAATCAAAACAAATTATGCTTTTATAATGTTTTACTAATCTTCGAGCTATTCTTGTAGCTGTATGACGGAGATTTTCGATGTAAAATTATGCAGTTGTCGATACCAGTTATATAAATATGCACGAGTCGTGCTAATTCTTTGTTGGTTTTTTTTATGAAACTCTAGAACTAGAACATTTGAAACCCCAATGAAGTTTGCTTGGGTTTATAGTCATGGATTAACCTGAAGTGAGGCTTTTAACAAATAAAAAAGCGGCGTTTTATCTTGTTTGCAGTTGGAAATGCAGAATCCTTTTTGTTTTGGGTGCTGGGTCGAGAATGCCTCAATAATTTACGTGCCTAAAAACATGCTTTAACATGCATGGGCTAATTTACATACGAAATTCATATATTCTTTTGGACCTTTTTTTTTAAAGGTTTGGTTTGTTATATCCACAGGTATATTGGTCCAACTTCCATTGCCTAATCACATAAATGAAGAGAAAGTTCTGACTGAAATCAGCCTTGAGAAGGATGTGGATGGCTTCCATCCTTTGAATATTGGCAAGCTTGCAATGAAAGGCAGAGAACCCCTGTTCCTTCCCTGCACTCCCAAGGCAAAATCTCTTGATTCTGAAAGATTTTAGAATAAACTCTATTATGTTGACAATTGAATGAATTTTGCCCACCTATTTCCATTCTTTTTAAGACCTACTATTATTGGGCCACATCTCACACTTTTAAAGCAAGTGGGGGACGTGGCCCAATCATAGTGTGTTGGTAGCATTCCTCTTTTAGTAGAGTATTTTTCTTACAAATTATGGACAAAGACGATATTGGAGCTTGGACTACTTAAATTAGAAGGAAAATAAATGCAACAAATCTCTCAAAATAATCTGTCATTTTTTAAATCATACTATCCTCTCATTGATGCATTGTTTTCATTAAGGTGTCGCTTGTATTGACTGAAATTTGGCGTGAAATTTATTGGGGTTTGCAGTTTTGATATCTTTTTTGAAAGCATAATTTTTACTTGTGAGGTAGCCTCAGCGAAGACATGGGTTTTTGATCTAATGTTTTTATCCTATATTGTTTTGTAGAGGTGATAAACTCATGCTAAGAGTGATATATATGAAATACTGGAACTCTATCAAATATATGGGTTGAAAAAAAAAAGCTGCATAGAAAGCAATAGAAAGATACAATCATTTAGAACAATCGTATCAAAAGATATTCTTCATTGTTCCTCCACATAGAAAGGACTTTAGTACTTTATAATTAATGCTTTTCTCTAAATGTGATTTAAACAATTCTTGCTGATCAAGAATTTATAATTATTACAAGGTAGCTTTTGAAATACTTTCTCGAAATTATAAGTAGCTCATTTACAGTTGCCACTATTATCATGTATGCAGGCATGTCTTGAACTACTATCACGAAGTGGTGTAACTATAAAGGGAAAGAAGGCAGTTGTGGTTGGTAGAAGTAATATAGTTGGATTACCAGCTTCATTGCTGCTTTTGAAAGCTGATGCTACAGTTACCATTGTACATTCACACACCAGTCAACCAGAAAGTATCATACGTGAAGCAGATATTGTTATTGCAGCAGCAGGACAGCCAATGATGGTAACTAGTAAAACATATTTTACTTTATCTGTATCTCTATTCTGAGTCTTTGCGCAGTTCTTGTCAAGTTTTAAATTTTAGCACTTGGGATTTGGATGGTTCTTACTCTAAACTGTCACGGGCTACGGGATGCATTAAGAATTAGCTTACTGAAAGTTTCTCCCATGCAACCCCCGTCCTTGGTACACATGACTTGCAAATCTGTTTACAATAGGTTTCAAATGCTACTGGTACTGTTTAGGAATAGCATTTTTTAACCTTAAATTTGGTTTTTCTTTTCATGACGTTGGTTTAAACAATATCTGTTTACACCCAAAAAAAATAATTTTTTTGATAATTTTGTGGTTGGCCTTGTATCCTATCAAGTAGCTACTGCTAATCTTCTTCCTGATGGATAGTTCACTTTATGCGTAGTGAAATTATTTACTTTTTTTAGATCAAGGGCGGTTGGATCAAACCTGGAGCTGCAGTCATAGATGTTGGCACAAATGCTGTTGATGACCCAACAAAGAAGTCAGGTTACAGGCTTGTTGGAGATGTAGATTTTGAGGAAGTATCTAAAATTGCTGGTTGGATTACTCCTGTTCCTGGTGGTGTGGGTCCAATGACAGTGACGATGTTGCTGAAGAATACTGTGGAGGGTGCCAAGCGCACCATTGAGCAGAATAACTAATCTCCCTTTAATAGATGAATGTATTTTACATAACCGCTACAATCGGTTTGGTACAATCACAATTATATTTCTGCACTTTCACTATCTTCCGCCTCCTTCCCTGCCCTTGTTCTTTTTCCCTTCGGTCCTTCTTACGTGTTTCTCAGAAGAAGCTTTCACTATGTGTGTATTAAGGATATTTTAGATTGGATTTACTGCCATTTGAACCTCCTACTTAAGGCTGGTCCAAGGCATCATTGACACAGTTAGCGGGAAAGGCCTATGCTTTTAGTCGATTAATGCGAAGAGATAAAATAACAAATAACAAACAATGCTGCATGTTATTCGTGTATACACGGACAGTATAAGCTGCATGAGGGGAAAATCACTGCATATATTTCGTCACAATTATAAATATTCAATATGAATCATAGATTATGCTATTGATCTAGTCTCTGTTAGAAGCTCTTGCAGATTATGAATAAAAAGCAATTGGTTACTAGGAATAATTACGCATTAGGTAACGGAAGACTACAGGGGAGCTTAATCCTTCAGATAATTTCTTGCTGTTTGTTATTGTTGTCTTCAGAGCGGCATTGGAATAACTATTTACGCACTCGTAAGTACAAAAATAATATAATAAAAAGAGGAAGGATATTCTTACTACTAAATTTTTTTACTACTAACTTACTACTTATCTAATCACCATTTAATCAAAGAGAGAGAATGTTAAAAAGTTTTTGAAAAAAGAAAAAATGTTGATCCAATGGTGATTAGATAGGTAGTGAATTGGTAATAGAAGATTTTGGTAGTAAAAATATTCCTCCTCTAATAAAAATGGTACCTATTAATTAAAAACAAATTTTAATTGGTATGAACTCAAGTCTTATGTTGATGTCAAAAAATTCTATCCTCCTTTGAGCCATTTTTTCTCCCTCGCTCCGATGCTTGCAACTTCAATGTTTTTTAACAGAGTGCTTGTCGACAATAATTAGCTCAGCGAAGCGACGTCGTAGCAATCAGAGTCAGGGAGCGTGGTACCTTAAGATCCTCACCGTCCGTTTCCACAATTGGGAAAGACCGAAGGTTCAGATTGTGACTTGTTTGGATAACCCATTGATAGTAGTAAGAATAACAGTAACTTGAAGTGAAGAAAAAAAAGATATGAAACTTGGCAATGGCTGTGGTTGCAGTGCAGCAGCAATTCCTGTGCTTCTCAGAATCAAATTGGATGAGTAGAAAAAGACCATGCCTTAACACTTACGGTGCCATTTTTCTACGTTCACCTAAAAAGATTCAATTTTCACTCATTTCATGCTCTTCATCACAGACCCCAGAAGCTGATACTCAAACTGCTGAATCTTGCGTCAATTTGGGTCTTCAGCTCTTCTCCAAAGGACGGGTATTATCTTCAACTTTTCCTTCCGCTCATCTCACTCGTTTATTTTCCTTGTACTCGAACCATGTAGTTTAAATGGGGAATTCAAAGTTCCTTTTTTTTTTTTTAATGGACTCTTTAGGTTAAAGATGCTTTAATCCAGTTTGAGACAGCGCTTTCCTTGAATCCCAATCCTGTGGAGGCCCAAGCTGCGTTATATAACAAAGCTTGCTGTCATGCATACAGGTATAATATCTTTTTACAATGAATGCGTGTGGATTCCACAGTTTTTTCACTTTTCATTAGGTAATTAGTAATTTCATTAGCTTTGTAAATTTCTTGAAACTGCTCCCATACTAGTCTGCAAATTATGACATCTGAATTCATGAGTAGAAATTATGTCTGTGGGCACGGCATTTAGTCAATCAAATTTGCCACTTTATGGTAGTTGTTCTTATTCATTCAGATTGAACCCACTTTGAGTCGTGGGACTTGTATATTGTTATATGGTGAGGCAATGTATCCACTTGCTATATCTGGACGTGCTTGATGAGTTTTACTTGCTAATCCTGGGGAGTTTGTTGGCAATCAAACGACTAAGCAAGTGGGCATCTCTAAAGTTATTAAATGTCTTCAGTTCCTTAGATATAATAAATGATATGAAAAAAAATAAAATCAATTCGGGGCACTGGTTAGGTTATACTTCTGTTTTTATCATTACATTCTAATCTGGATGTTGTTTGGTTATTTTTGTTATGAAGAGGAGAAGGAAAGAAAGCTGCCGAGTGTCTCCGCACTGCTTTGAGGGAATACAACCTAAAATTTGGTACAATCCTCAATGATCCAGACTTGGCCTCCTTCAGAGCTTTGCCTGAATTCAAAGAACTACAAGAAGAGGTTTTCTAATTAGTTCCAAGGATTTTGTGATGCTAAGTTGTTTGATCTTTATTTGCTTTATTGCAGTTGTCAATGATCAACTCTCCTAAAAGTTTAAGCTGTTAGATGAAGGTTCATTAATGACTTTATATATAATCTCTAACGGTTATAGATTTGAAGATTACTATATTCTGTAAAATCATTGATAAAAAAAAAAAAATAGTCTTTGCTTCATTTGTTTCCTCCCTTTGCCCCGATTGCCTCTGTGGAGACAGCCTAAAATACGAGAGGACATCATTGAGAGGGATAATGAGACAGTCTGAGGGGAAGGTTCATTTGAAGGGAACTTTTGACCCTCATTATAATACTGTCTAATTGAGGATGGAACATTTTAACATCGAATCTTAATAATTTTCTGCCATGCAACCAGGCCAGGCTGGGTGGGGAAGATATTGGCTACAGTTTTCGGAGAGATCTTAAACTTATTAGTGAAGTTCAAGCACCATTTCGTGGGGTTAGAAGATTCTTTTATGTAGCACTGACGGCAGCTGCAGGAATATCATTGTTGTTTACTGTGCCCAGACTATTTCATGCAATTAAAGGTGGTGATGATGCTCCTGATCTCTTGGGAACTGCTGGGAATGCTGCCATTAACATTGGAGGTGAATAGTGACCTATTTAACTTTCTGATAAAAACAATTCAGGATCAGTTTATACTAACTAATCTAGTATGTTACTTTCTCTTTGCTTTCAAGATAATCGCCATGTGTAGCACCTGAGAAAATACCTTTTACATTACTTCATTAAATGACTAAGCACCGGAATCAGCATTGTGCAGGTATTGTTGTTTTTGTGGCATTATTCTTTTGGGACAACAAAAAAGAGGAGGAACAGCTTGCACAAATATCCCGAGATGAGACACTATCAAGGTTGCCGTTGCGTCTTTCAACTAATCGTGTAGTTGAACTTGTGCAGCTACGGGACACAGTTAGGCCAGTCAGTTCTGTTTTCTTTTGTCTTCTACTTTCTTTCTATGTCTCTACATTACAGTATGTTGGATTTTTTATTTTTTATTGTTTTTTTATTTGCTTCTTTTTTATTTTTCTCCATTTTCTTCTGTATTATTTATTTTTATCTGGGAGGAGGGGGTTCTTGCAGTGACTGAAAAGTTTACCCTGTATTTTTAGTTGCCTGCATTAAATAAAAGAAGAGGGGTGGGGGGCGGTGGGGACTGCATCACAGTACATGCATTTTTCACACGAGATAAATGGAAACTATTTCAAATTTTAAATATTCTACGACCTCACAGAGTGATATATATTATTATTATTTTAAGTTCTGAATGAAAGAGGGTGAGTTTGAAGCAATGGTAAAATTACTTCTATCTGACTGAGAGATCACAGGTTACATGCTAATAATTATGTCATGTACTAATAATTATTCTTTAATGATAGACTAATATAATTATATAGTTATAACTGTTTGTTCTTTCTCTTTGCAAAAGTTCCTTTTCTATTTTCTCTTTATTTCCTCCCTTTTTTTCTTTTCCTTTTTAATGTGAATTATCCATGCTTTAACTGAAGCTTGGGTTTTTCAGGTTATCTTAGCAGGAAAAAAAGAAACAGTATCTTTGGCTTTGCAAAGAGCGGATAGATTTCGCACTGAGCTCCTTAAACGTGGTGTTCTGTTAGTTCCTGTCATCTGGGGAGAAGGTAGGGAAACAAAATTTGAGAAGAAAGGTTTTGGTCTTCGACCAAAGGCTGCTGAAGCTCTTCCATCCATTGGGGTAAGACTTATAACCATATGCCTTAATGATTCCTGCTCTTCATCTAAAACTTTTGTTTCTTTGATGAGAAGACACTAACCCATAAAACTTTGCTAGGAAGATTTTGAGAAGCGAACAGAGGCTGTAACTGCAAAGTCGAAGTTGCAAGCTGAAATTAGGTTCAAGGCTGAGGTTGTATCACCGGCAGAATGGGAACGGTAATATGCTCCGATATCTTGTCTATATTTTAATCTATTTCTTCATTAAATGTGGGGGGGGGGGGGGGGGGGGGGGGGGGGAATTAGCATCAACATAGATAGTTCAGGGTGGATTGATGTCATCTAAGAAGTGCAGGATACAGGGAGTGAGAGAGGAGTTGCTAATAGTTGCATGCTTATATGTGCTAACTTAAATAGGTGGATAAGAGATCAGCAGAAGTCCGAAGGAGTTTCACTTGGTGAAGACGTGTACATAATACTACGCTTAGATGGGCGGGTTCGAAGATCAGGGAAAGTAAGTGCCATTTTCAGAGCAATCTTGTTTTACTTTTCTTCCCATTGATGTAGAATTGTCATTTATTAGCTTGCTGCATGTCAACGAAAACTATGAGCATCATAATACTTAATTTGCAAACCTAATTCTCTTCCTACCGTCTAAAAGACAAGCACAAGGCCAAAGGAATCGGATTTTAAGAAAAACCAATTCATCATTTGGGATGCATTTCTTCATTTGATGACTTGTTTGCAAAGCTTGGTGATCATGCAGCATCTGATGTACTTTTAATTCATTTTAAATCTTAGTTGTCAGCTATAGGTATATTTTTCATTTTACTAGCTGGAATTGCATTAAGGGATTTTATCATTCAACATTACTTCTCAACTATAAACTATCAACAAAGCAGTTTGATTCAGGGGAATTTTTTTTTTCCCCTCCCTTGATTGCAATACTGTTTCGCATACTCTGCCATTTATCAGTACAACACTAGTAAATGCTACTGTGTTTGCAGGGTATGCCTGACTGGCAGCAAATTGTGAAGGAGCTGCCGCCAATGGAAGATTTGTTAAGCAAGCTAGAAAGATGAGAAGTAAACATTATACTTCCATTCCTCCACGATCAATACAGACTACAGAGAAGTGAATGGAAGAATTTTTAAAGGAAGGAAGATTAACATTGATAAAAAGTCTAAACGAAGTTGTATATTTTTTTACCACACAAATTGGTAAGTGAATGTATCTGGGCTTATCTAACCCTACTTAAATTCAATTTTGATACTGCCAGTTAAACTTGGTTATAATCACGCATTGATAAAAAGTCAACCAAACCAATATGATCATTATTTTAGCATACAGCAGATTTTAGCTTCATTTTTGACAACTTAATTCACATGACATGGTGAGTTCACAATCTAGGCTCTTGTGTAAATCTGTATCTGTTCTAGGAGGGTGAGTAAAAGAGTCCCTTTTTGTTTTTGTTTTTGTTTTTTTGTTTTTGTTTTTGTTTTTTAGTTTTTAGTTTTTAGTTTTTTTGTTTTTTGTTTTGCTTTGGGTATTTGAGAGGGGCTGGGGGGACTCCCTTCCACCATATAGTTTTGGGAAAACAATGTAAACACCTCCCTTGAAATTTAGGTTGATTGAATTTGTGAATTTTAGGGTAAAGCATATGTTATTCATCTTTACTATTAAAAATTTGATTTGTCATTTTATGAATTTTATCTTGTGTGTCGTGTGTGGGGTGGAGGTGTAGGACAAGAGTTGCAGCAAAATGCCTCTTGTTGCAGCTTCGAGAATGAAAGCTTCAAAAAGAGCTTATAGAATAAAGAGCTAGGATATTCTTACTACCCATTTTTTTTACTACCACTTCACTACCATATTAATCATCATTGGATTAGAGAAAAAGTTGAATGAAGAGAGAGAAAAAAAAATAACTTTTGAATACAATGGTGATTAAAGTGGTAATGGAGTGGTAGTAGAAAAAAATAGTAGTAAGAATATCTTATCTCATTAATCTATCCTTAAAATAAGTTAGATTCAAAATAAAAATAAAAATGAGAATGCAATTTATGTTGGACTAGATGCTATCGTGAGAGTGAGCAGTGTTTGAACTATTCATTTAATCGTTGATGGTAAAAGACTAAGCAGGTGTAAAGGGTTTAACAATATCAAAAAGATATTAACAAAGTTAAAACTTATTTTGTCATTGTTGGGTTGCGTAAATGCCAAGCTTTTCAAATAAGTAGAAGAAAAGTGATTCTTACACACTGTATACAAATGTAAAATAATTTTTTCTTTGAAAAATGGTTCTAAAATTATGTTGTATTCCTAAGAACATTGAGATGAGAAATTTTTTTCCTAGTTAAAATTTACCAAAGGCATATTTTCTAGTCAACATTCCAATGAAATCATTCCCAAGAACGGAGGTGGGTTGGTTGAGTTCCAAAGTTTATCTAGTTAAGCTAGAAGTTCACCATTGAAAACATATATGAATTTAACATAATTGTTATGGAGGTGTGCTAGGTCTCATATTCAAGCCTCACCAAACACCAAAGACAATTAATTCATTCCTTAAAGGAGATGATGTCTGGATGCTACATAGCTTAAGGAGAGAACTTTGTTTTGGCTGACGCAAAAATACTGTCACCTTAAAAACAGTTGCCTTAGAAGATTTTATTCTAGAGATAGGATATTCTTACTACCATTTTTTTCTACTACCACTCCACTACCACTTTAATCACCATTGGATTCAAAAGTTATTTTTTTTTCTCTCTCTTCATTCAACTTTTTCTTTAATCCAATGATGATTAATATGGTAATGAAGTGGTTGTAAAAAAAATGAGCAGTAAGAATATCCTAGCTCTAGATTAATAAGACACTTTTGTTGCAAACTTTTTTATTCTTAAGTACTAGTAAGACATGCCACACCCTGCAAAACTGAAAATAGCCAACTTAATTCCACTGATATAAAAGTTGATCATAATATAATCACAATCAGAAAAAAACAAAACAACCACACCATTCCTTAATTTCATCAAAATAAAAAAGAAAACCTTCATACTACTAACGGGATAGGTTCCAGAAAGATTAAAAAGCTTGTTGATAAGACTGGATAATGCGAGGAACATAGAGCAAATCTTCTAATTATCACCATAGCTTCCAATTCTGTCCATTATATTAGCTACCGTTTCCTTACTATCTCTTAGAACTTTGACGCTCCTACTAAACTTTTCTCGCTTCCCAGAAATAGAAGGAGATTCCTCTAACAACCTTTCAATTCCTCCTCCACTTGTAGATAACAGATCATGAACAATCTCCTTTTCAAAATCCTTGTCAACAAAGTTTTTAATACTTAACATCAAATGCAAAGCCATGCTGTCTATAAGCCTCCTCTGCACAATCTTCCAGTATGCAATCATCCTTACCTTCAAATCAAATGCTTGACTAAGCACAACTTGAGAGTATTTCCTCAAATCACAAACATCAATCTGCCCAACACCCTCAATCATTACATTGTCTGGCTCATCCTCGTTATCCAAAACATCATTCAAAAAAGCATCTTGACGAGATATTAACCTATTATATTCCTGCATAAACTCAGGATTACAAGTGAAATCCGTATGCTTTTCCATTTCAACAGCTTCCATCACATGCCTAATTGAACTTTCCTTCTTCTTAGCAATAAGAATCTGCCCAGCTCTTCTAGCAGACACCTGAAGCTGATAATAATGTTCACAATGACGCATTAAAACAGAAGTCACCACAGTTTCAAGATAGTTCCATGCTTTATCAACAAAACATATTGGCATCTTTGCAATACCATTCACTTTCCTCTGCAGTATAGTAACAAAAGCAGTGTGGGGCATGAAGTTTGGAAGACCAATCCATTTGGCTTCTTCCAGCACCTGTATCTCTTCCATTAGAAAATTCTCAGTGGCATCACTCTCATCACAATTGCAAAATTCACTTGAGTAAGCATCAAGCATCTCCACCAAGCGAGCAGTGCAATGCATGTGCTTGTCCTCAGGGTACTCTTCAAATTCTCCTCTTAGAAGAATTTTTCTGAGAGACTCTTTTGACAATCCAATAACATGCATAAAAGCAGTCATGGCATCAGCTACTGAAGATAAGTTAACAGGCAATTTATCTAACTCAGACAAGTTACGAGTCAGCTTCTCATTGATTTTCTTGACAATCTCAGGCAATGTTTTAGATATAATAGTAGCTTGCACCTGTACAAGCTTTTGAGCCAAAGTAGGAATACCCACAATAGACTTGTCTATTTTGGAAAGAAGTGGATGAGACTCAAACAACTTTTCTTCTTCCACTCTGGCTTCTTCATAAGATTCATCACCAATTCGGTTTCTCACACAAACATAACCAAGACCAATGTTCACATCATCAGCAGTGACCTTCTCTAACAAGCCTTCAGGAGACTTATCAGCCTTTGTAACAACAGCAAGTGTCCTCAAACCAGTTTTATCAACAGTCTGTGACATCCTGATGGACTCACAAGTAGTAAAATCAACAGTTGCAGAAAGAACATTCAAGATAATGCTTTCTTCAGGCCTTATATACTCCATGATGATATCCTTAATCTGGTCATATATATTCTCAGGTTGACCATGAACAGGCACACGAGTTATACCTGGAAGATCAACCATTGTTAGATCAGGAACACCATTCTTCTTCACCACCAAAGTCAATGGGGCATTAGAAATCCCCTTCCCATGACCTGCAAGCTCTTCTGTGGCAATGTTTATGGCATCAGAAACATGTTCCTCATCAGTGGAAATGCTTTTGCCATTAAACTCCAACACAAGCTCTGGCTTTGGAAGCAAGTGGTTTTGGAGCCTCATCACCAAGGGCACCCTGGTGCAAATGCCCTGACCACGTGGTAAGCTAATACCAGCAAGAGATTCAAGGACACTAGACTTGCCAGAAGATTGGTCGCCAACAACAACAATGGTTGGAAGCTGTATTCCCTCTTTAGCAATGTTAAGACGCCTTAGATTTTCAACAGCATCAAGTATTGGACGTATTCTCTCATTATAGGAGAAAGCTATTGGTGCAACAGAAAGAGGCTGAGGCTGTTCTGCTGCATGAACTAATGCAAGTGAATTGTCACGTTTACCAGAAGTAACCTTGGTTGCCTTTCCTCCAACCATTTTTACTTAACAATCACACACAGAAGGTGCACAATGAATATTTAGTCTTTTGATATGCTTATGATGAATGGAGTTTCAGCTTCAGCTTAAATGAATATTTATAGAGAAAACAAGGGGAAAATGAAAAGAATGGACAAAGGGTCGTTTGGTATCTTGAGGAAAAGAAGGCACAGATTAGTGACTGTTGGAGTCTTCAAAGTTTAGGTAATCGAAGGGTTCCTCGTTAAATGCAAAGAGGAAGTAAATGCTCTAAATCTGAACAAATATCTTATTACACTAATTAATTCAAGTAACAAAACCCTTACCCAACTCTAAAGGGATTAATGTTATAATTCAAGTGTTTTCCACGGTTCATTAATTCTTCTGTTCTGTGAAAAAACTAAAGTTTTGTTACCAATGAAAAGATGATTACCCAGTCCACTCTTACATATATATATGGCCGTGAGATATCATTCTATAAGATGTTTGAGTACGTAAACTTTTTCTTTGTTAGTGAACAGATGTTTACTAGCATAGTTGTTTTTGTCCCACTTTGAATGTATAGTTACAAATAAATAGTTATACTATATATATTGGAATTTATTTTATCATGTAATTTATCAAAATTTAATAATGCAATAACTAAATATTGTATGGTTATTTGATAATAATAAAAAATGAGTGTTGAAAACTAAATTGTTTACTGGTAAATTTTATCATTGTTATTAAAAAGGAAAGTCTTTTATTAATTTTAAACCAATGAGAACATGAACTTAGATAGCTGAATGATCTTTTATATAAAGTAGTTGTTCTATTTGTACATTGTATGAGTTGTTTAAATCAATCATATATGACTTTGAGTTTTTTATTTAATGGATGAATGTTTAGTGCCTGGTTAACTAGATTTAATTTGCTTTAATAAAATCTTATAATCAAAATGTTTCAAAGATAGTATTTAGTTAAAAATATATTTTCATGTAAAACAAATCAATCCAGACATATTTATAATCTTATAGAGTATAAGGGAGACTCGTAAGTAATTTTTTTTTATATGTTTCAAAATTTTTTCATTTATTTGTAACAACATATCCTTTATATAGATACGAAATTTAAATAAACGGTAGTTAAATTTTTATATATTAATTTAATTTATTAAGACATGGAAAAATATTTATCATGTAACATCCCGAGCGCTGACGAGGGTAGGAAGTGATCGCCGGTGCAAAGAGGCACGGACAAGGAGCGGCTCCTGACAAGCTTCCAGCGGGGGGTTACATGCATGAATGAATCGAATCGACACCCGAAATAGAGGGATTCCAAAGGCAGTGCAGGTATAAGACTACACAGTTTGTGATAGCTTATAAGAATTAATTGGTACTACCTATGCTAACAAGATGCATATGCTTTTCGGTAGCCCGAATCGGAAGAACTCCATAGTTAAGCGTGCTTGACTTGGAGCAATTCTGGGATGG